CTATTAAAAAACTTTTTATTTTTTTATTGAAATAAAGAGTAAATTAAATAAAATATAATATAAATATTAGATGAAAAACTTAAAGTTTAAAATTAAGCGAAAATGAGAAATGTTGCCTTGGCAACTAACTGGAATAAAATTTTTGTTTTTTTAACTCTTAAAAAAAGTTTAAGATGAAGTACAAGAATGACTAAAACTTAAATTAAAATTACAATGAAAACTAAAATATAAAAGCTACTTCAAAATATGAATACTATAATAATATATAAACAATACTAAATTAACACTGATATTTATACACCAAAATTAAATCTAAATAGAAATATAAAAAATTTATAAAAATGATTAAAGCACATAAAATTACCAAAACTTAAAACTGAACTGAAACTAAAACTGAAAACAAAAAAGGCAATTCAAAAAATGAATAAATACTATAATAGTATATAAACAATACTAAATTAACACTGATATTTATACACAAAAATTTAAGTTAAATAAAAATATTAAAAAGAAAATAATGAAAATAACAAAAGCACATAACAAAATTACTTTAACGAAAATTAAAATGAAAATATAAAAATTACAGCTAATTCTAAATATTATACTATAGTATTAATACTATAATAGTATATAAACAATAGTAAATTAACACTGATATCTATACATAAAATTTTAAACTAAACAGAAATGCAGAAAAAATAATAATAAAAATTACAAACATGCATGAAATATTTACTAAATTGAAAACTGAAAAATAAAAATAATGTTAATAAAAATAATACATACTATAATAGTATATAAATAACACTGAAATTTAAATATTGCACTTAAAATAATTTGTCAATTTATTGTTACATTGTCTGTAACTGAATATGCAAATGAATACATCGCTAGTTTATAGATTCATTTAATTGGCAGATGTAGTCCTACATAGTGTGTCGCTACGGCAACACATCCCCATGACAACCACACTACACTATATGGTACTTACTTGCGCTTATCCGGATTGTTCAAACCGACTTAAAACTAAAAGATTACGTTCTCTCGCGCACGAACTCATTCGGGAGTGGTGACTTTCCACGTATTCCCAACTTCTGAGCCTGCTCGCCTGAAGTTATAGTTGATTGCTCTTCGGCTGGATATCAACACAGCCATTAACGTAAGCTACGCCAGAGCGTGTACACACCTCATGCACCGGATGCTGTGCGCGCGCTCAAGGAAGTTGGACATAGTGGTGTATTAGCGGTAAAAATGATATAAATACTGTTCGGTTTCTGGCACAAACCGATCGTTTCGTGTGTTAGGACATCAATGTGTCGTCACGAGCCGCAGGGTTTAATTTGGATTTGTCTGTGCATGGTTTTTTTACTCTCATAGATTTTGTTACCATTGCCATGCATTATACGACTGATAGACTGCAACGGCTGGACTTAAAAATCATAATTTGGTGTTCTACTGAAGAAACAAAGTCACCTACATCTTGGATGTCCTGGGGATAAGCAGATAAACATCACATTTTCATTTTTGGGTGAACTATCCCTTTAAGAACATTCTTAGTGGTTAAATTAGTTATTTATAGCTAGAATATTAAATGTTTAAATAAAAAAGCAAGGGTTTTCTAAACTCAAGGGGTTTGTTGCAAGTCCAAACTCACACAGACAAATCAGAGCCAGATCTGAAAGATGAATGCTGAAGCCTGATGCATATGTAAAGAGAGCAGAAAACCGTTGTGTCCTGAGGCTCATTCACACAGCTTATGAGAGGCATTAGTCATGAGAAGTGTTTAATCGGAGGACTCCCTGCGACTCCAGCAGACAGACAGACAGAGAGATGACAAGTCAAGCCACGCTGATGCATGAACGAGGCTCAGGTTACACTGTGATTTACTGAAGACTCTCAGACCTGTGAAACACTCCCATCATCTCATACGCTACACACTCCTCAAAATAAAGCTTCGCCAGTGGCTCCTTATTATCATTTTTGAGTTCTTGAGGTGCTTTACGGTTTGTTGAAGATATAAAAGTTTAGCTGTTTCAGTATAGGTTCTTTAGAGGTTCCTAGAGACTGATAACACAACTGTATGTTCACAGATTAAAGGTCCAATATTGTCAAAACTGAAATTTCCTGGCTTTTTTCACGATTACTGAGGTCTAGGGGCTATTTAACTACCATATAAGTTTCAAAACAGTCAGTTCACAGTAAAATGCACACAGCCTGCTTAAAGTTCTAGCTATTTTTCACGAACCGTTGTGACTTCCGTAAAAAGTTGACGTCAGAACTACACAGTCACCGCCTTCAGTCACCACCCCGAGCACCGCCCACCGTCCCGCTCTCCTTTTGCCAAACCCCAGACAACACCGCGTCCATGCCATTGCTGAGCAACAACAACACGGAAACATGTCGAAAAGGTTAACTTTAACCACGAAACCAGATCGGCCGACCTGTAACGTTACACTCTCACTCAAAGGATGGACGATCTGACAGGATTGTTACTATGAGGTGGATCACATCTAACATGTATAATGAAGACAAACTCACCGTGTCTATCTAGTCATGATGAAGATGTATATACATTTCAATTTCAGCAGGCTACTATATTGTTCCAGCCACAATTAAGCATTTTTTGACTATCGTTTCTGTCCAGTCTGCTCGTTTTATCACGTTTAACCACAGCTGTCGTCGGTTTTTTTGTCTGGCAGTGGCAGCAGATATGCGATCAAATTTCTAATTTGAGGCTGTATTACGTCGATTTTGGCACCCAACATCACAACAAGATGATATTTTTTAAGCTCTTTATGTAGCCGAATCTGCAGATGTAGCAGAGCTCCTGAGAAAGGAGCTGTAAAAATTTATTGAGATGGTTTTTGGTACTTGTACCGCAAATATATTCTTAAGGACATCAAAACCTCAAATAAAACTCCAGAAAGGTGTACAATATGGGACCTTTAAGATAAAAATCATGTATAATTTGCATAATTAATAGACTTAAGTAGTGAGAAACGAACAGCATTTTAAGATAGACAGTCTAAAAAAGACAAAAATATATTTTCTATTTACTTCAGCAAAATAAATTTGCATGAATGCATAATTGTAAATAATAATAATATTATATTATTATATTATATTATTATTATTTACACAATTATTATTATTATTGAAAATATACTGCAATTATTTATTTAGCAAAACAAATTTGCATGAATACAATGGAGTAAATAATATTACAATTGTAAGATATTTATTATTATTATTTTTGAAAATGTATTGGAAATATTTATTCAAAATAAATGTGCATGAATACAGTGGTGTAAATAATAATAACAACAACAACAATAATAACAATAATAACTATACCATATTATTCTTACTGCAAATATACTGTGATTAATTATTTAGCTAAATAAATTTGCATGAATATAATAGTGTAAATAATAATAATAATAATAATATAACTATACCGTATTATTATTACGGCAAATAATTATTTTGCTAAATAAATTTGCATTAATATAATGGTGTAAATAATAATAATAATAATAATATAACTATAACTATAACATATTATTATTATTAAAGCAAATAATTATTTTGCAAAATTTGCATGAATACAATGGTGCAAATAATAATAATAATAATAATAAAAATAGCTCTCTTTTTATCATTACTATTACTAAATGTATATTAATAGTAAAATATTCCCAATTA